CATCTACAGGTCAGAACTTTGCAGTTTACACTCATCTACAGGTCAGAACTCTGCAGTTTACACTCATCTTCAGGCCAGCGGTCACTCTTTCAGGGATGAAGATGTTCTCATCCTTGATAGAGAGGAACGTTGGTTTGAGAGAGGAGTAAAGGAAGCCATCTTTGTGAAGAAAAACCTTCGTGGCCTTCGTGTCCAGTTGTCCTCCTCCCACAATGCTGTTATTGCAAGTATGACTCCGCACCCTGTGAGCAAAAGGTGTGAATCAGGGCCCCAACGATACCAACACAAAGAGGGAAAAGACAAAAACAAGGGGACGTTGAACCCCGCTTGCATTCACTTCATACACATAACACGACACGGGTCAGGTGATGGGGCACATGACCCTCTATGAACAATAGAGCTAATCAAGCCTATTGTTAGTCAATGGCCATCTTTTGCATGTGACTAACCTGTTTGTCCATGTGGAGGCGGAGCTTATAAGACTGAGTTTCACCTGAAACTCATCAGACTGAAGAAGTCTCTTGGAGGAGAGACGAAACGTTTCACTAAAGAAGAAACCATCCAGAAGACCTACTGATTTTTTTCTTTTTGACCTGGCATAAATAAACTTTAGACTTTACAGAAAGTGATTTAGGGAAATTCTTTAAAGAAAGTCTCTCACATTAATCATCAAATAGGAGTTATTTTGGGAATCATTACTTACAAGAAAGGTTTATTCTGATTAATGTCTCATTGAAACAGTGTATATATCCATATGTTTCCAGCTGTATTAACTGTATGATGACTGAAAATAAAAATGTGATTTAAAATTTAAATTTGAAGCTGAAAAAGTTTCACCTTGCTGGTTGTTTTCAGATGAATCTAGTCGTGTTTGTCATGTTTCAGCTGCCTGTAAAGACTCCAAAACGGCTCTGGAGGTATCCCAGCACACTGAGGACATGGGTCTGATCCTGGGAGCTTGTGCTGGAGGTCTGGTGGTCCTCATTCTGCTGCTGGGGGCCATCGTCATCATCGTGAAGAAGGGGTGAGTGAATGTTTGTAGTCAGAGCTTTTGTGCAGCCCCTCCACAGGACATAATCCATCTCTTGGCAGTCGAGCTCCACTGAGGATAGCATCTGCCAGAGAGGGTCAATTATAAGCAGAGTTTGGGAAACGGTGGAGCATTAACTCCTAAACTCTCCCACTTCCACCCAAACCAGGCTTTTGTGTTCATTTCATCTTCTAATTTCAAGGTCTGCATGTTGGCTGAGCACATTCACATGCAGGCTGCTCACTCTGGGAGTCGTTGGCTGCTTCCCACTTGCAAATTACCTCTGTAGTCGCTCACACCTGCAGAGTACTCTTCCTTTCCTCGCTGGGTGATGGTGGAACACTCGTCTGAGTGTGAGAAATCTCATCAAGGGGCATGTTATTCCATTGCCCACTCAGTGACATGAGGCGAGGAGCTGCGAGGTGCCAGTGGATGGCCTAGTAATTGGTTAGGAAGGTTGTTTTGGTTTTTTTTTAAAGGGGGGTGGGGGGTCGCTCAGAGCAGTTTCTTTCATTGAAAAGAGGGGCTTGAGGGTGGGGATGGAAAGCAGGCAGTAGCTGATAAGATTCAGCAGGCCAATCTAGAATGCACAATAAAAACCTGCCTGGTGCAAGAGTTTCTGTCCATGTTTATTTACAACCTCAACATACTGTCACTATTCGTGTTTCCATCCAGTTGTACAGTGAATTTTTATCAAACTTTTCAAAATGCGCAAAAAATTTAATAAATAAAAATTCGAATCTAGACTGTTTCCATCTAGTTTCCCTCTTGACTGTTTGATGTGAATAAACGTGGCTACGCAACACATGATTATGTCAGACGAGGCTACGCAACGCGTGATTACATCA